GTCTGGCTCAAGGGTATGGCTCATGGGTCTGGCTCATGGGTCTGGGTTATGGGTCTGGCTCATGGTTCAATCCCATGGGTCTAGCTCATGGGTCTGGCTCATGGGTCTGGCTGAAGGGTCCAGCTCATGAGTCTTGCTCATGGGTCGGGCTCATGGGTCTGGCTCACAGGTCTGGCTCATTGGTCTGGCTCATGGGTCTGGCTCATGGTTCTGGCTCATGGGTCTGGCTGATGGGTCTGGCTCATTGGTCTGGCTCATGGGTCGGGCTCCTAGTTCTGGCTCATGGGTCTGGCTCAAGGGTCTTGCTCATGGGTCTGGCTCATGGGTCTGGCTCAAGGGTCTGGGTCATGGTCTGGCTCAAGGGTCTGGCTCATGAGTCTGGCTCATGGGTTTGGCTCATGGGTTTTGCTCATGGTTCTGGCTCATGGGTCTGGCTGATGGGTCTGGGTCATGGGTCTGGCTCCTGGTTCTGGCTCATGGGTCTAGCTCATAGTTCTGCCTGATGTGTCCGGCTCATGTGTCTGGCTCACGGGTCTGGCTCATGGGTCTAGCTCAACGGTCTGTCTCATGGGTCTGGCTCATGGGTCTGGCTCAAGGGTATGGCTCATGGGTCTGGCTCATGGGTCTGGGTTATGGGTCTGGCTCATGGTTCAATCCCATGGGTCTAGCTCATGGGTCTGGCTCATGGGTCTGGCTGAAGGGTCCAGCTCATGAGTCTTGCTCATGTATCGGGCTCATGGGTCTGGCTCACAGGTCTGGCTCATTGGTCTGGCTCATGGGTCTGGCTCATGGTTCTGGCTCATGGGTCTGGCTGATGGGTCTGGGTCATGGGTCTTGCTCAAGGGTCTGGCTCATGGGTCTTGCTCAAGGGTCTGGCTCATGGGTCTGGCTGAAGGGTCTAGTTCATGAGTCTGGCTCATGGGTCTGGCTCATGGGTTTTGCTCATGGGTCTGGCTCATGGGTCTGACTCATGGGTTTGGCTGATGGATCTGCCTCATGTGTTTGGCTCATGTTTCTGGCTTATGGGTCAGGCTCATGGGTCTGGCTCATGGGTCTGTTGTTGGAGATAGGCTGCAATTCGGTTAACACAACTTTGTGTGTTGGCACTTTGTTGGTTTTAGGGATACACAAATTTGTTAGGTTGGGTGTAGCAATGTTTTCATCCCCAACCTATCCCAACCCAATCCATCCCAAATCCCCACGATTTGGGAGGATTCCCTTGGGATTCCCTTCGATTCTCCCTTATCCCTTGCCATCCTCTCCGATGCTCGGTACTTAAGGATGTATGCTCTTGCTCATTTTAATCAATCAAGTTCTCAGTTTCTAATATGGTATCAGAGCTCATTTTTGCCTAAGCGGCTCTTGATCCTCTCGCTCCGTTGGAGCTTAGCATTTGCGTCTTACGACGCAAAGCATTTCTAGTCGCCTCAACTCAGCGCGGCGCTTCTCATCGGGCTGAGCCCGTCGCCACGCATCTGCTCGTCGCACCTGATCGGGCTGAGCCCGTCGCCACGCATCTGCTCGTCGCACCTGATCGGGCTGAGCCCGTCGCCCCGCATCTGCTCATCGCACCTGATCGGGCTGAGCCCGTCGCCCCGCATCTGCTCGTCGCACCTGATCGGGCTGAGCCCGTCGCCTCGCATCTGCTCGTCGCACCTGATCGGGCTGAGCCCGTCGCCCCGCATCTGCTCATCGAAGCTGGACGGGCTGTCGCCCGTCGCCCTTGCAACAGCGGGGGGGTGCAGCAGCGAAGCGGAAAGGGGGCAGCGGCGAAGCGGAAAAGGGAAAGGGGGGGTTGGTCGCGGAGCAACGGGATTGCAGCAGCATATCGAGAATTGATAAAGATTTCGGCGATCAGATTTCCTTCTTTATCGGCCGTTTTCGCTCTCCGAGCGTTGAAAATCCGCAAAAGAAAATCTGGTTTTTCGCAGAGCCCGTGCTGCGCGCAGCTCATTCGCAAAAGTCGGCGAAGTGCCTATCGGCGACTTAAGAGCTGCGCTTCGCGCGGAGCTAGGGTCCTTGGAGCATCATGGCGTACCCTTCCGCGTCTCTCTCAAACCCGATCACTCCCTTGCGCCTCGACCCAAATGGCTCAAGCCCTAACTTCAAGGAGTGGAGCTATGGGGTTGACAAGCATCTCTTAAGCCGCAAGATTGAGGGGATTTGCCTCAAGGATGTCCTCCTCAATCGCGGCAAAGGAAAGATGCCGATCCTTCCCAAGAAGCTCTCAGCCACGGCCACAGAGGAAGAGTCAAAAGCGCATGAGGAATCCATGTCCAAGTATGACGAATCTTACAGCGTGTGGGAGCAAGCCGACGCCGCTATCATTGGCATCTTCGTCGGCACTACCCCTTCCGAGCTCGTCAAAACCTACCATAACTACCCCTCCGCGCACGCCATTTGCGAGTACCTCAACGACCGCTTCCTCAACAAAACCGCTGTGGGGGTGGCGATACTCATCCCCCGCATGTTTCAAGTGCGTCTGGAGGAGTGCCCTGGAATGGCAGATTACGTCGCTGAGATTCAAGGGATTCATCAGGAGCTGAAGCAACTCGGCATTGTCTTCCCAGAGCAAGCCCCTGCAGCAGCTCTGCTTGTTGGGCTAACCCCCTCCTACAATGTCACCCGCTCCATGCTTCTCCATCTCCCGCCAGAAGAGCTAATCTTTGCCAAAGTCTCTTCCGCACTTCTCTCAGCTGAAAAAGACAACACTGCACAGGCTCGTGCAAATGCGCTTCGCGCTCCTGTCCCGGCTCCAGCATCGCGTCCCAATCCGTCACCCACTCGTAACTGCTACCCACCCTGTCCTTACGTCATCAAGATGGGACCCCGTGCGGGTCAGGTGTGCGGCGGCACCAATCACCCGCTCGCCACCTGCTTCAAGAAGAAGGACGACGACTGGTTCGCCAAGAATGGTATCAACTCCAAGCCGCCCAACTGGCTTTGCATGCGCCAGCTCAACCATGTTGAGGCACAGGATAGTCAGGACTCAGCCGTTCATGCCCCTAGTCCTGATGTTCGTCTCAACCTGTTGTTCCCTGGCCTTCCCATGATCAATGAAACCAGTTCCCAGTACTCGGCGTCTCCACAAACACCATCCAAACCACTTGAATTCGTCCTGGACAGCGGCGCAACCCACACAGTCCTCCGAGACAAAGAGTCTTTCAAACCATACCAAGCACCCATTCCTCTCCTGGGCGCTGACTCCAGCTTCTCAACTGTTGCCCATGGTTCCTCCACTCTTCCATGCCCAGCCTTCCCATCTGGCACAGTCACTGGCCTATGCGTGCCCACTCTTCGGCACAACTTACTTGCACAACATGAGATTCAACGAGCAGGGGTAACCACTATCTTCCCAGCTCATTCCAATCATTGTGATCTCCTTGATCCCACCAACAATGCCCTCCTTGCACGCTTCATACTGACCGCCAACAACCTCTACACACTCCAAGTACCTCCATCTTCCACTGAAACACACTCTACCTCCACCACATCATCATGCTCCTGCCGTCAACTCACCGACCCAACCAGTCTTTACCACCATCGTCTCGGACATCCCAACTTCCGCATGCTCTCCGAACTTGCGTCTAAGAAGTTGCTTCTTCACCTGCCCGACACACTTCCTCCACCCGCCACTTCTCCCGCTCCTCCATGCTTGGACTGCGCGCAAAGTAAACTACGCCAGCTGCCTCACCCTTCCTCGCCCTCCGCTGCAGCCGCCCCGCTTGACCTCGTCCACATGGACGTCTGGGGCCCAGCTCCACTACGCTCTCGTAGCGGGCACTCTTACTTCCTAGTGCTCGTTGACGATCACTCTCGCTATGCGTCCGTCCACCTCCTCTCCTCCAAAGCAGCTGTTCCCGATGTCGTCATCGCATGGATTCGACAAGCCCAAAATCATTTCCGCACTTCAGTCAAGTGCCTCCATTCCGATGGCGGTGGCGAATTTCGAAACCATTCCCTTCAAGCGTTCTGTGCCTCCCAAGGCATTCGCCAGACCTTCACCCTTCCCCACAGTCCGCAGCAGAATGGCATTGCTGAAAGTCGCAATCGCACTCTCGTGCAAATCGCTCGCTGTCTTCTCACTCACGCTGGTGCACCACCTTCACTTTGGAGTTACGCCCTCCTTCATGCCACGCTGCTGTACAACCTTCACCCTCACCCTCTTCGTCCTTCCATCACTCCCGCTGAACTGTGGACCGGCACCAAGCCCAGTGCACGTGCTCTCCGCGTATGGGGGTGTACCGCTTATGTCCTCCTCAACCCTCAGGAACGTCGCACCCATGGCGGCAAATTTGCACCCAAAGCTCAACCCTGTGTCTACCTCGGCCACAACCTGGACTCTCCCGATTACCTTTTCCTCAATCCCTCCACCAATCAGCTCATTCGTAGCCGCGATGTCGCCTTTGACGAGAGTCGTCCTTTTTACCTCTCTTCACCACCCACCACCGCTCCACCTTCGCTTGTGTGGGCCGATTTCAATACCTCACCCTCTCCACCTCCTCCCTCTACCGCTACTCCTGCGGCCCCCTCACTCTCACCTCCACCATCTCCTTCCACTCTCTCTCACCCCTCTTCGCCCACTGGCTCAGTTGCCCGTTCACCTCCGCCTGCGCCTGCACTTCCCCCTGCACCCGCTCCTGCAGCTGCCCCTCCACCTCCCTCTCCTTCTGCGCCTCCCCCTGCCCCTGCACCTCCATCCCCGCCTTCACCTCCGCTTCCGCCTCCAACCTCGACCTCTCCTCCTGACTCGCCCATCACCTATCGTCGCCGCCGCCACGGACGCTCTTATGTCGACGTCCCACCTGCTCCCCCACCACCTCCCTCCTCTCCTGTCCCTATTGCTCACCGCACCCGCTCTCATGGTCCCGCTCCGCCTCTCGCCCTCTCTGTTCGCATCTCCCTCCATCCGCCTCCTCCTGCCGGGGGTGCATCCATGCCTAGCCTCTTGGAGGATAGGCATGAGGAGCTGATTGAGATCAATGCTGCCATCCGTCAGCTCTGCCATCTTTTCCCCGATCTTGCCGACTCTCCAACTCTTAACTTCTCGGAAAATCCATCCATTCCAACCCCGAACTCGTATGATGAAGCCATCTCCGGACCACACTCCCCCCAGTGGCTCGCAGCCATGATCGCGGAGTGTGAAGCATTCATTCGCAACAACTCTTTCACGGACGTCTCTCCTCCGCGAGGAGTTAACATTGTCCGTGGCAAATGGGTTTTTCGCGTCAAGCAGCTGCCCGGCGAACTCCCAGTCTTCAAGGCACGATACTGTGCAAAAGGCTTCACGCAGAAGAAGGGCCTGGACTTCTTCGACACATTCTCTCCGACAGCCAAACTGCCCACGCTTCGGACCCTGCTGGACATCGCTGCTCGATGCAACTTTGACATTCACTCCATGGACGTCTCTGCTGCATTTCTCCAAGGGGATCTCCCCGAGGACATCTGCATGGAGCGTCCTCAAGGATTTCCCTTACCCTTTCCACCCGGCACGGTCTGGAAGCTGAATCGACCAGTCTACGGGTTGAAGCAGGCTCCTCGGGAATGGCACAAGAAGCTGAAGGCAACCCTCGAGTCACTCGACTTCCACCCCTCCTCAGCCGATCCGAGTCTCTTCATTCGCAAGAACGAGAACCCGTTCTTCATTCTCGTGTACGTTGACGATATGATTCTCGTCTCCAAGAACTCCGATCAGCTGGCAGCTGTTAAGCAAGCTCTTGGGGACGCTCTCGCCATGAAGGACCTCGGGGAACTCAAGAACTACCTTGGGATGGAAATCTCGCGGGATCGCGAAGCTCGAACCATCACTCTCTCTCAAGAGTTCTATGTGAACAACATCCTCAAGCGTTTTGCCATGGACAACGCCAAGCCAGTGGCCACTCCCCTTCCCTTGCAGCATGATCTGACCACTCCATCAGTTCCATCGCCTGAGCCTTGTGATGAGGCATACCCCGAGCTCGTCGGATCACTCATGTATGCGATGATGTGCACAAGGCCCGACCTCGCCTACCCCATCAGTGTGCTCTCGCGTTACGTTGCTGCCGGTCGACACACCAATCGCCACTGGTCGGCTGCTAAGCGCGTCCTTCGCTACCTCCAAGCCACCAAGGACTACGTCCTCACTCTCGGTGGCACGACCCCTCCTCACCTCAAGGGATACAGCGACTCCTCATGGGCTGATGATCAAGCTGACCGCCGCTCATCCCAAGGCTATTGCTTCACCCTTGGCAGTGGTGTCATCAGCTGGCGATCTACACGCTCATCATCTGTCTCATTGTCATCTTGCGAAGCTGAGCTATACGCAGGCACCATGGCAGCCCAAGAAGCTCGATGGCTTACCTACCTCATGGCTGAGCTCGGGTATCCTCAGCAGACCCCGACTCTGTGGTGTGATAACGAGAGCACCATCCACCTCACCAAAGACCCTGTCTTCCACCAACGAACCAAGCATATCGAATTGAGACACTTCTTCATGCGCGAGCTCGTCCAGCGAGGGCAGTTGTGCGTCAAGCATATTTCCTCTGACTGCAACCTCGCCGACTTGTTCACGAAGGCTCTTGGACGCCGTGATCACTATCGTCTCCTCCGTACCATGGGACTTGGTGTCTCTACGGCTTCCGACGTTGCAGCCTAGGGGGTGTGTTGGAGATAGGCTGCAATTCGGTTAACACAACTTTGTGTGTTGGCACTTTGTTGGTTTTAGGGATACACAAATTTGTTAGGTTGGGTGTAGCAATGTTTTCATCCCCAACCTATCCCAACCCAATCCATCCCAAATCCCCACGATTTGGGAGGATTCCCTTGGGATTCCCTTCGATTCTCCCTTATCCCTTGCCATCCTGTCCGATGCTCGATACTTAAGGATGTATGCTCTTGCTCATTTTAATCAATCAAGTTCTCAGTTTCTAATATCTGTCTCATCGGTCTGGCTCATGGGTCTGGCTCAAAGGTCTGGCTCAAGGGTCTGGCTCATGGGTCTGGCTCATGGGTCTGGCTCATGGGTCTGGCTGATGGGTCTGGGTCGTGGGTCTGCGTCATGGGTCTGGCTCCTGGTTCTGGCTCATGGGTCTGGCTCATGGGTCTGGCTCATGGGTCTGGCTCATGGGTCTACCTCATGGGTCTGGCTCATGTGTCTGGCTCATAAGTCTGGCTCATGGGTCTGGCTGATGGGTCTGTGTCATGGGTCTGGCTGATGGGTCTGGCTCAGGGTTATGGCTCATGGGTCTGGCTCATGGGTCTGGCTCATGGTTCTGGCTCATGGTTCTGGCTGATGGGTCTGGCTCATGGGTCTGACTCATGGGTCTGGCTCATGGGTCTGGCTCACGGGTCTGGCTGATGGGTCTGGCTCATGGGTCTGGCTCATGGGTCGGGCTCCTAGTTCTGGCTCATGGGTCTGGCTGATGGGTCTGGGTCATAGGTCTGGCTCATGGGTCTGGCTCATGGGTCTGGCTCATTGGTCTGGCTCATGGGTCTGGCTTATGTGTCTGGGTCATGGGTCTGGGTCATGGGTCTGGGTCATGGGTCTACCTCGAGGGTCTGACTCAACTGTCTAGCTCATGGGTCGAGCTCATGTGTCTGGCTCATGGGTCTGGCTCATGGGTCTGGCTCATGGGTCTACCTCATGGGTCTTGCTCAAGGTTATGGCTCATGGGTCTGGCTCATGGGTACGGCTCATGGTTCTGGCTCATGGTTCTGGCTGATGGGTCTGCCTCATGGGTCTGGCTCATAGGTCTGGCGGTCGGGGTCATGGGTATGGCTCATGGGTCTGGCTCCTGGTTCTGGCTCTTGGGTCTGGCTCATGGGTCTGGGTTATAGGTCTGGCTCAAGGGTCTGGCTTATGGGTCTGGCTCATGGGTCTGGCTCATGGGTCTGGCTCATTGGTCTGGGTCATGGCTCTGGCTCATGGGTCTGCCTCATGGGTCTGGCTCATAGGTCTGGCGGTCTGAGTCATGGGTCTGGCTCATTGGTTTGGCTCCTGGTTCTGGCTCATGGGTCGGGCTCATGAGTCTGACCCTTTGGGTCTGGCTCATGGGTTTGGGTCATAGGTCTGGCTCATGGGTCTGGCTCCTGGTTCTGGCTCATGGGTCTGGCTCATGGGTCTGGGTAATAGGTCTGGCTCAATTGTCTGGCTTATGGGTCTGGCTCATGGGTTTGGCTCATTGGTCTGGGTCATGGGTCTGGGTCATGTTATAATCACAATAGGCTTAGATATGGCTATAATGAGAGATAGAGAGCACAGTCGGATGTCCGGTCTTCAAATATTGATAACGATCTGGTCGCTGAATCAAACTGTGATCTGTAAGTTGGATCTAGAGCGCGTTGCTGTCGTCTATCCGCAGCAAGTTGAATCATAATATTCCATGAAGATTTGACGACGCTATGGCGGTTTGACTGGCAGGAGGTATAGCAGCCGTTATAGTCTTGGAAGTACAAACTTAGCAAGAAGAGTTCGAGAGGGAGGTGGTTCCCAGCCTCTACATACCCCAAGAGCCGAGGTCCAGGTTGGTGGTACACCACCACAGAGTCCCCAACCATGAAGAGTCTCGAAAACAACCCTCCAAGGGGCTACAACAAGTGAAATGTAACACTTCACGAAGTAACGTTACTATTTTCACTATTTAATATTTATCCGCGTCCCTTGGGCTTGAAATCTTGAGCTCTTGTTCTTGGATCTGCAAGATAAATTCTTCTAGAGTTGATGGAGGCTTACTGCACACACCTGCGACACCATTGACACTTCACACTCGACAAAATAGAAAAAACACATGCGACACACAAACGACGACTTGACATGCGAGTTGTAAAAACTCGCTAATGTCTTGACCGTCACAAACCACATTGTGATACACCATTCAAACACACACACAAGCACTGGATAGCAATGACATAGACTCACAATTCATTCCATGCCATGCATGCACACACACAAACAAGGACAACAAGACGAGTGCAAGCCATAGGGTTGCACCAACAGGTCATGGGTCTGGGTCATGGGTCTAGGTCATGGGTCTGGCTCATGGGTCTGGCTCATGTGTCTCGCTCATGGTTCGAGCTCATGTGTCTCGCTCATGGGTCTCGCTCATGAGTCCGGCTCTTGGGTCTACCTCATGGGACTGGCTCAAGGTTATGGCTCATGGGTCTGGCTCATGGGTCTACCTCATGGGTCTGACTCAAGGTTATGGCTCATGGGTCTGGCTCATGTGTACGGCTCATGGTTCTGGCTCATGGTTCTGCCTGAAGGGTCTGCCTCATGGGTCTGGCTCATAGTTCTGGCGGGCTGGGTCATGGGTTTGGCTCATGGGTCTGGCTCTTGGTTCTGGCTCATGGGTCGGGCTCATGGGTCTGACTAATGGGTCTGGCTCATGGGTCTGGGTCATAGGTCTGGCTCAAGGGTCTGGCTCATGGGTCTGGCTCATGGGTCTGGCTCATGGGTCTACCTCATGGGTCTGGCTCATGGGTACGGCTCATGGTTCTGGCTCATGGTTCTGCCTGATGGGTCTGCCTCATGGGTCTGGCTCATAGGTCTGGCGGGCTGGGTCATGGGTCTGGCTCATGGGTCTGGCTCCTGGTTCTGGCTCATGGGTCGGGCTCATGGGTTTGACAAATGGGTCTGGCTCAGGGGTCTGGGTCATAGGTCTGGCTCAAGGGTCTGGCTCATGGGTCTGGCTCCTGGTTCTGGCTCATGGGTCTGGCTCATGGGTCTGGGTAATAGGTCTGGCTCAAGGGTCTGGCTTATGGGTCGGGCTCATGGGTCTGGCTCATGGGTCTGGCTCATTGGTCTGGGTCATGGCTCTGGGTCATGGGTCTGGGTCATGGGTCTGGGTCATGGGTCTGGCTCATGGGTCTGGCTCGAGGGTCTGGCTCATGTGTCTGGCTCATGGGTCGAGCTCATGTGTCTGGCTCATGGGTCTGGCTCATGGGTCTGGCTCATTGGTCTGGGTCATGGGTCTGGGTCATGGGTCTGGGTCATGGGTCTGGCTCATGGGTCTGGCTCGAGGGTCTGGCTCAAGTGTCTGGCTCATGGGTCGATCTCATGTGTCTGGCTCATGGGTCTGGCTCAAGGTTATGGCTCATGGGTCTGGCTCATGGGTCTGGCTCATGGTTCAGGCTCATGTTTCTGTCTGATGGGTTTGGCTCCTGGGTCTTGCTCATGGGTCTGGCTCATAAGTCTGGCTCATGGGTCTGGCTGATGGGTCTGGGTCATGGGTCTGGCTGATGGGTCTGGCTCAAGGTTATGGCTCATGGGTCTGGCTCATGGGTCTGGCTGATGGGTCTGGCTCATGGGTCTGGCTCATGGGTCTGGCTCCTAGTTCTGGCTCATGGGTCTGGCTCATGGGTCTGGGTCATAGGTCTGGCTCAAGGGTCTGGCTCATGGGTCTGGCTCATGGGTCTGGCTCATGGGTCTGGCTCATTGGTCTGGCTCATGGGTCTGGCTTATGTGTCTGGGTCATGGGTCTGGGTCATGGGTCTGGGTCATGGGTCTGCCTCGAGGGTCTGACTCATGTGTCTGGCTCATGGGTCTGGCTCATGGGTCTGGCTCATTGGTCTAACTCATGGGTCTGGCTCAAGGTTATGGCTCATGGGTCTGGCTCATGGGTACGGCTCATGGTTCTGGCTAATGGTTCTGGCTGATGAGTCTGCCTCATGGGTCTGGCTCATAGGTCTGGCGGTCTGGGTCATGGGTCTGGGTCATGGGTCTGGCTCATGGGTCTGGCTCATGGTTCTGGCTCATAGTTCTGGCTCATGGCTCTGGCTCATGGGTCTGGGTCATGGGTCAATCTCATGGGTCTAGCTCATGTGTCTGGCTCATGGGTCTGGCTCATGGGTCTGGCTCATGGGTCTGGCTCACGGGTCTGGCTGATGGGTCTGGCTCAAGGTTATGGCTCATGGGTCTGGCTCATGGGTCTGGCTCATGGTTCTGGCTCATGGTTCTGGCTCATGGGTCTGGCTCATGGGTATGACTCATGGGTCTGGCTCATGGGTCTGGCTCATGGGTCTGGCTGATGGGTCTGGGTCATGGGTCTGGGTCATGGGTCATGCGTCATGGGTCTGGGTCATGGGTCATGGGTCATGGGTCTGGGTCATGGGTCTGGCTCCTGGTTCTGGCTCATGGGTCTGGCTCATGGGTCTGGGTCATGGGTCTTGCTCATTGGTCTGGCTCATGGGTCTGGCTCGTGGGTGTGGCTGATGGGTCTCGGTCATGGGTCTGGCTCATGGGTCTGGCTCATGGGTCTGGCTCATGGGTCTGGCTCCTGGTTCAGGCTCATGGGTCGGGCTCATGGGTCTTCGTCATATGTCTGGCTCAAGGGTCTGGCTCATGGGTCTGGCTCCAGGTTCTGGCTCATGGGTCTGGGTCATGTGTCTGGCTCATGTGTCTGGCTCATATGTCTGGCTCATGGGTCTGGCTCATGGGTCTGTCTCATGGGTCTGGCTCATGGGTCTGGCTCATGGGTCTGGCTCATGTGTCGGGCTCATTTGTCTGGCTCATGTATCTGGATCATCGGTCTGGCTCATAGGTCTGGCTCATGC